AAAAAAAAAAAAAAAAAAAAAAAAAAAAGAACGCACACAATGGTAATTTTTAGTGGATGGAGAGAATAGAAAAGTGAAGCTCTGCACATCAGACCCCAGTGCCAAAGTCAGCATGTGCATGAAGTCACCCAGCATGGGTGGCTGCCATGTCTCCAGCAGGAAGTGAAGGAGAGAAGACCAAAGGGAACACTGCTGCAAGCCACACCAACTGTGCCTTCTTCAGATGGTGTGCATATGGCCCTCATTATAATGACGGTCACCCATACAATCACCCAGAGGGGCAGCTGTTTTTACTAGCTGACAAAATAATAATTATAATAATAGGGTAAGAAAGATGAAGCCATAAGTTCAATTAATATATTAGGCTAGACCACTGATATACTAAGCTGTGCTACACATATATTTGATCAAATTTTCTCCGCTTTTGTTCTGATGGCTACTGCTACAAATGTACCAGAGGCAAATCTCAATCTTCTTACCCAAACTTTTCATTATCAGAACTGTTCCTATTACCATAATTCAGGCTAGTTCCCTAAAAATACTGTGAGGGCCAAATGATCTGTTTATACTATGGAAGTGAAACATCAATTTCAGACTGACATTTCCATATCCTCTTGCATTTTGATTGAAGAATGCCACAGTGAAACACACTGTCTCTTGGGTATTGCAGAGCTGAATCAGGACGAGTTCTTCTTGAATGTATATTGTCAAGAACTTGGAATCTGTAGCCAAGATTAACAACAGACTTGAGGGGTCAGTCCTCTTCCAGTGGTCACAATGGCTCAAAGGGCAGTGGTGTTCACTGCAGAGGTCCCTCCCCATCCCAAATCATTGTTCTAGAGGAAAGAGCACCATCCTCTCATATAGGTCCTCCAAAATCTCTAGCATGCCTTTGAAAGGTATTAAACAGCAGTGAAGCAGAGGTAATGTTCCAGACAGAAGTCTGCAGTGTCGCCATCCTTTGCTTTTGGTGAAGTGCAGAGCCATATGTCTTCATGATCTAGATAAGACTGGCATCTTCTTAAGAAAACTGCAGTCATTCAGAAGGGCACAGGCCAGGATCAAATGCCACCTCCACCTGGAGAAGAAACTTGAAGGCACCTGAGAACAGGGCCAAGACGAGGATTATTCTAGAATCATTTTGTTGAATGACAATATTCGTCAGCCAAAGGTAAGAATTTGAGTTTGGGTGAATATGTACACTCCTTACTCTAGTAATCGGACAACAGGTTCAGTCGTGTCATTTTTGCATTATAAAGTGGCTGCATCAGCAGGGCATAAAAAGTCATGTGGTTCTTAAAATGTCATTCCAATTTATTCAGAAATAAAAGACTTTCAGACAGTTCTGTTTTGTTTGTCTTTACAAAAGCTTGTTTTATCAGAGAATACACCTACTTTAATTCTAATAGTGGAATTGTAATAGACGACTTGGATCAATACTGGGATCATACAACTGGGTCCCTGCATGATTCCAGGTTTGGGTAGTCTGAAAGCTCTGTCCATATTCCCTGTTAGATAAATCAATGATAGAGCAGTTGCCCAGCTCTCCATACATAAAGTCAGACTGAAAGAACCATGCCCACGTTCCACTAAGAAAGTCAAATAGAGGTTTGAAGGAGACTACATGCTAACTTTCTATTCCTCCCCACTCTGGGATGGCAAGTGAATTTAAAGGACAGCATCTTGTTAAGGACAACTCATCCCATGGATGAATATAAATAAGAAACTGAAAAGTTTTTACATGCTAACTTTCTATTCCTCCCCACTCTGGGATGGCAAGTGAATTTAAAGGACAGCATCCTGTTAAGGACAACTCATCCCATGGATGAATATAAATAAGAAACTGAAAAGTTTCACTCAACCAATGATGTTGGCCCCTAGGCTAGACCACTGATATACTAAGCTGTGCTACACATATATTTGATCAAATTTTCTCCGCTTTTGTTCTGATGGCTACTGCTACAAATGTACCAGAGGCAAATCTCAATCTTCTTACCCAAACTTTTCATTATCAGAACTGTTCCTATTACCATAATTCAGGCTAGTTCCCTAAAAATACTGTGAGGGCCAAATGATCTGTTTATACTATGGAAGTGAAACATCAATTTCAGACTGACATTTCCATATCCTCTTGCATTTTGATTGAAGAATGCCACAGTGAAACACACTGTCTCTTGGGTATTGCAGAGCTGAATCAGGACGAGTTCTTCTTGAATGTATATTGTCAAGAACTTGGAATCTGTAGCCAAGATTATTGAAGCCAAACCACCTTTGTCTCTATCAAAGCTTTACTCTCAAGAGGCTGGGCAAAGTCTTGGATACAAGGAATCCATCCTCTAAAACCTAGATCTCTTGGAGGCAAATATAAAGCATAGCTTAGAGTTGTCATATGAAGTTCTTCCCCAGGCTTTGAGAGTGATGTTCCAGTGACAACTCAGCTCCCTGACTCTCACAGCTTATGGGTCTGTTTCTACAAGACCCGAATTGCTATCACTGCTGGGGCT